AAAAGAAAAAGTTGACATCAATACAACAGGGTCATCCAAGACTCTTTAACAGTTAACACTTCACAATTATTAACACTTCTACGTATAAAATATATATTGTAGAAATCTAGGGACACTCTACTGGTCTTCTCCCCTAAACAACGAGAGACCTTTCGTAAGCACTATGCTTTATCATAATCCTCCAAATGCTAATACTCAATATATTTCACAGCATATACAACCATTAGCACGCTTTAACTATTGTAAAGAACTTAAAAAGTAAATTTTGAACAAAATCATTCTAGAGTCCAGAGGATAAGGAAAATCTGGCATCCCTCAAAATAAGTACCTGTTTTTCGGTATCTTCATGATCAAGATGTGAGAGGTAGATTAATGTCTCTCGCATTATCTGCAACGGTTTAAAATATGAAATGGGAATACCATATAATTGAAACAAAAACGCAGGATCATATAATAGAACTTCAATATCAAAAGGAGTAGCAATGCAAGGAAAAATTGTGTCAAATTTTCCTCTCCAAAGTCATGGGTCAAGAAGGAAAAAACAGTGTCAAATAGAGCTTATTTGTATGAATCCATGCGGTGTGTGGAGGACCTAGTATATCTTCTATAAGTGAATAACTGATGATAGGCCATATGTACAGTTGCTACCTTATACTGGACAAGAACATCATTATCCTTCATAGTTTCACGGACAATGTTCCCATTTTCGTCCTCAACAATTAACACTTCTTCAGGCTTAGCCATGCGACTAATCATGAGTCCCCTTAATTTTGACATTGGATCTGAATAAAGTTGATGCCGCTCCGTGACTTCAGGTTTAACACCATCAACTGTGATAGGAAGGAAAGACATCTGGCAATAGCCAAATCAAGACCCAAGGTAAGCATCAAAGCAAAGTTCAACCACTACGATATATAATCCTGAATTCCATTTTATAAAAGAACATAAAGAAATCATACTTGCAATCCAAACAGAGTTGGAGTTAGTGCAGGGTGACCAGCATGATGTTGCGCCCCAAACAACTCCAAAACTAATGAATTCCAATAGTCCAAACAAACCTGTTCACTCGTAAGCAAGCAAAAGCTGTCAGTTTCCAAAGCATCGACAGAAAACATGCGACTATTCGGATAAATAATATAAATGTACTGAAACCTAAAACTGCAAGTATCAACAGAAAAATGTATTAACAATTGTAATTCACATACCTTGAATACTTCAGTGTCATCAACATACGATATGCTAATGAGATATCCCAGACCCGCAAGTAATAGAGAAATATTCTCGGGTGCAGATTCTAGGATTTTTATATGTAACTGCAAACGAAAACATAGAGCACATTTTTGTATTTGAAATGCATAAAATATATGAAAGAATAAAAGACTAGAAAAACAAATGCAAACCATCATTCCTGGTTACACATCCAAATTGTAAAATTCCAGGAAAAACAACCTGACATATCTAACTCAACAAAGAAAGAGAATTACCTTGAAAAACGAAGTGAAAAACAGTGCCAAGTTCTGGATAAAAGCCTAGAGGTAAAGAAGATATACAGTCATTATCTCGGAATGTTACAGTAAAAATCGAAATGGTCAGAAGCCTAATGCACAGAAAAAAAATAACTTGCCTGTTCTTCACTACTTCCAGTTGAATATGCCTCAGGGATATTTAAATTTATAGGGAGAATTGCCTGCAGACATGAAAAGTAGTATGTACATCAATCAAGAAGCCAAAGTAACATGAAAGTCAATCTACATAGAGTACGGAACCAGTAAACGACCATAAGGAGTACATTAACTAATTAAAAGTGAGACTCTATAGTAGGACATCAATGAACAAAGCCATGAAAACAAATAGAAGTAACAAAACAAAGATAACAGCACTACCTGCAACTGATTCATGAAAATGCTGTACATCTTGACATATTGCACATTGTAGAAGTCCCCAAAGTTGAGAGATGCAACCTGCCAGAAAAGAAAAAAAGCAAGTAGTTAGACAATGAGTAAAATAGTGACAAGTAGGACAATCCGAACTACAAACCGGCATACCTCTGACAGACATTGAAGTGTGAGATTCCTAAATGCTGGAACAGGGAAGAATTTAAGTAGGGTCTCCAGCTGCGAATAACCAGATCAGTAATGGGGGATTTTGTAATGAAAGACTTGTTAACCTCTCTCATTCCACTTATTCAAATATATTACCAAAGGGGACTCAAATATGTATCCCAACGGAATCCAAGAAAGATAGGCATGCAATGCAGAGAGTGTTGCACGTATAAGTTCTTGTCTTTGGGAAGCTGAGAGGACATATAGGCATAACTCGTGAATGAGTTGAAACTCGCTGCATATAAGAAAGTAGTATAAATCAGTAAAAGTATGCAAAAAATATTAGCTACAAATTATGGATAGATACTTGAACATAGTTCGTTTTTATTTAAGTATTCTAAATAATTCTTGAAAAGTCTAACTTGCCTGTTTAGAGACTGTTTCAGTTCTTTTATCTTTTGCTGAGTCATCTCTCCTCTTGAGAAATCAAAGACCTCTTCACTTAGGAGCTAAAGACAAGAAGAAATGTTATTTAGGTACACCATGAACTTAATTAATGCAAAGGCCCTTAAGACTGTACTTACTTTCAAAATGGCCATGCAATTCTCACAGATAGTTTCACTAGTCTTTGCAGCTATAACTAGATCAGGAATAAAGCTTTTCCACTTTGCCGGCCACTCATGTTTCACGATCTGTACACACATAACATTATATGTTATTCCCAAAGACTAAACAAACTTTTTCAATATATTGGCAGGAGCAAAATCTTCAGGCGAAATTGGTTTTAGCAAAGCGGTTCCAGAGAAAACATCACAAGTAAATAGATAGTGAACAAAAAAGAAGGACTCAATGCAAATATGCATATTAGCAGGAAATCACAATATACCTGGACCAGGATGACATTTAACTTGTTGACATAAAGCCTTTCCGTTCTGAAAGATGCTTCATCCCTTGAGAGCTACACAGTGAATTCATTATCAAAACAATTCAGTTAACTTAACATCTTAGTTCTAACCAAAAAAACAACCTAATGCCTCTCAAATAGTATACCTGCACAATGATATCAGAGATGTAATTTTTCATTCCATCACGTTGTTCAACGGGTAATGCATTCCACCTATACTTTATAACACCTTCTAGCACCTGTTATATAACAATGGGAATAGAAACAATCAGCTAAATAAAGGCAAGAGAAGAGGAGATATAAGAGAACACTAAAAACTTACCTGAAGGGCAAAATATTTTGTATGTGTACTACTGGTGTTCTGTAGAATGTGAACCACTTGAAGCCAAGTATCAGGATTAGCTTTCAAATCCCGCAAGATAGTATCCGCAGAAGCTCTCTGCAAGGTGTTATCAGAACACATTATTATCTCATGGAAAGATGCCAAGAAAATTGGAGTTTAAACTAACGAAAAGATAGTAGCCACTACTCCAAAAGACTTATCATAACATCGTTTTTAAACAAAAATTAGTTCAGTGTTTGTCCAGATTACAAGAACAACAACCACAAACACAAACCACGGCTCTAAAAGAATCTGCAATCCAGGAAAAAATTAAGCAAAACTCATCCAATTCGTATCGGAAATACTAAACCCTCGCATAACCCCCAAATCGATAAAAGCGACGATAAAACGCATTAAGAGTAAATAATAGAACGCTTAATGTGGTGGCTACACTAGTTCATCGTTAAAATTCTCAGAGAAATTTAGATAAACAATGGGACTCACTTCTTCCTTAGATCCGGTAGCGTAAAAGGCCTCAACAATGGCATCGAGTAAAACGACGTCAATTGGCTGACTCAAGTCTCTTAACTTCTCGGCAGCCATGGCGGAGAAGATTCGCAAATTCCAGGAGAATCAAGAAGAAGAGAACTCGAGACGAGAGTGAAATCAATGGAGGGAAACAAATTTCGAGAGAGAGGGAGAGGGTTTATGGTGGAGCGGTACGGAGGAGAAGCAGTTTAAATATTGAGAGAGGTTTTTGAAAGCCAGCTTAAGATTGACGCAGGCGACCCTGAGAAAAAAGGCATGACTTCTAATTTTGTTTTCCTTTTTTTTTTTTTTTTTTTTCGTTGACCGCCTCAGGTTTGAATTGACGCTACTCAACATATTATTAGTAGGATTATTTATTTTATTTGATAAATTATTCAAAGATTTTACTTCGAATTATAAGGAAAGTGTATTATTCATTGGAAATATACATTCAATTTATGGTATCGCTTATGGATACAATATTCCCACACTTTTCTGAGGTTTTATTACACACACACAAAAAAACATTATTATGTTTAATTTTCTAAAAAGCTTATTCAATCACTAACTAACTGTATTACTTTATTTTATGTTGTTCATTGTTAGATTTTGTATGATACTGCATAAAATAAAAGTTAGTGTTATTAGTTTTTGTATTTATATAATATTATTATGTTTGCATTAATGGCATTTTCCCCAAATATTAACTTTACTAAGTAGTAGTATTCACTATTCATTTGATCACTTAAAACCGGAGCTAAGAGCAAGCTTGGAAAAGCATAAACAAAAGAAGAATTATCATTATATTGAAATCAAGTTTACCATTTGTGAAGATATGATTATCAATGCTTTGAGGAAAGTGGGAAAAACTGATTTAGCTTAAGCCAATGCATAGCAAATTGGAATGCATCGTGGGTTTTATAATTCGTAACATTTCCTCTTTTTTTTTTTTGAAAAAAGTTTGATTTAGTGATTTCATTTTTTTTTCTTTATAACATCTGTGAAAGGGATTTCATTTTTGTTATTGAAAAACTCCTTATAAATCAAAATTATACTTTTGATCAGGAAAAGTGGGAAAAGCAGATTTAAAATCTTGTATTTATTAATATATACCAAAATCATAGTAAAAAATGTCTATTTTTTTGCCACATCATCATCATTGATGGAAGGCCATAGAGCAAGTGGCCCATGTAAAACAGAAAGCGTAGCCCAACAAATACAAAACGATGCGTTTGGCAATCGTCGTGTCCATTGTTATTTCGACACCGAAATCGAATCCCGATTCCGAGAGAGAGAGAGAGAGATAGCGGAAGACGATGGCTTTGACGGTGGCGAAGAGTGCGTTGGAGGCGATTAGAGAGAAAGGTCTCGGCGGTTTAATGAGGATGATCCGAGAAGAAGGCTTCCTGTTAGTTCTTTTTTCGATTCTCTCGTCCTCTTCCTTGCTTTATTTCTTCTCGCTTTCATTCGTTAGATCCCAAAAAATTCTAGGAATTCGCAAGAGTTTTCGGCCGTTTTCGCAGTTTATTTGCAAAGAATGGTTATAATAATTCTTCGGATTTTTCCACCAAATGTTAAATTTTTATCCACTTTCTGTTTGGTGAACATCAATTTAAAACGGTGATCGTGATTTTTGAAATTGGCATAATGTTTCTGGTTGCTTGTAATTTTAAAATCTTATTTGTTTTTATTCCTAGTTTGTGAAATTTCTCTAATTGCTTCTTTCAATTTGATTTACTTCATTGCAGGAGATGCCTACCAGATGGGAACCTTTTGTAAGTAAATTATCTTTGATATTTAGTACTTAGTGTTTCACTTCTCTGTGGATTACGTATATTGTTCAGGAATTCTTTGTAGGTCAAGTTCATTTTCTTATTTCTTATGTGTCCGTTGCTGTGTGAGCGAACATCATTTTGAACATTCATTCTACTGTGAACAGAGCTCACCAATTCTTGAACTGATAACTATTCTTTGACTTGGACTGCTGATTTTGGCATAATTCTGTCAATTCCCTCATAGATGTAATGTAAGTTGGTTTGGAGTTCAGTAAAGAAGCAGTGACACTAAATGACGGTTGGAATGCCAGAGATAGTCTAGTTACATGTTTGAAGGAATTGACAGTATTATGCCAGACGGCATTTCAAGTTGAAGAGGATGAAGAGCTCAAAGATTGGTGAGGCCTGTTTATGGCGATGAAATTGGCCTACAAAGTATTCTTGAAAGCTCAAAATTTATGTGCCTCTTTGACGAATTATATATAAGCTGGATTTTTCATTCTCACAGGCTCTAGATAATTGGTGAATTTGACTGAATATAGAGAAACTTTTCCACAGATCATTTCTTTATGCTTGATATACATTTAGATATACCTAGTGTTGCTCCTATGTTGTGTATTCAGCTGTTGGAAACATGTATATATACAGGTCACATAGTACATACACAGTATGCTTGAATATAGTGTCTTATTTATTCTTTCCCATTCTTTATATTGTACCTTGCTGTTGAGTCGTATTTTCTGATCAATACTGTTTTATGTCTATATTTGACTAAGGCAAACTAAAATACACAACATAGGAGCAACACTTGTTGGTGTTGACAAGTTCGGTAACAAATACTACCAGAAGCTGGGCGATACTCAATACGGTATGTAGTTCTTTTAACTTCATGTTTTACCTATATAAAATCATGCTTTTACCTACCAAACAATACATTGAGACAAGCAATCATTTTTGTGAACAGGTAGGCACAGATGGGTAGAGTATGCTTCAAAGGATCGTTACAATGCATCTCAAGTGCCAGCTGAATGGCACGGGTGGCTTCATTTCATCACTGATCACACTGGAGATGAGGTAAAACCAAAAACCATTTCAAATTCGCTATCTCGTTCAATCAATAGGTGATAAATTGCTTGATAATAAATATCAATGTCTCTCTGTTTCAAGCTCTTGAGTTTGAAACCAAAAAGGTATGGGCTTGAGCATAAAGAGAACTTCTCTGGAGAAGGTGATGCATACATCTACCATTCGAAGGGACATACCTTGAACCCGGGACAAAAGAACTGGACTCGGTACCAATCATGGGTACCCACCAAGACTCAGTAAGGAGATGATATTTTGGTTTATGTTCTGTGAGATTTTCTCTTGAGTGATTTGTTTGTTTCTGTGTCTTTTTAATAAAAGCTATCTTGGATCTAAAGCTGAACAATTGTTTTTTTTTGGAATTTTAATTGAGACTGTAATAATTTGCTGATAATTAAGCTTGTTGTTTCTTCACCTCTGGATATGGTTTATAACTTCTATAAGTATTAAAAAAAATTATAGTTAATCAAATAACATCATCGACAAGAATATCTTCCAAGAAAATTCCATATTTTTTGGGTTAACTTATAATCTTCCAAAAAAATTCAGATACAGAATTTATAATAAAAAAAAATATCTTCCAAGAATGCGATTTATTCATCCCAAAACGGATATCTATCCATAGAAGATAAATGGAAGACATTGCTAGAATTTAATTATAAAAAATATGGTTGCCAGCAAAAACATGTTTTTTATGGGAATTAAATTAAAACGAAATCGTCACCTAGTTTTTTTTGTATTATTAATCTCTTACGTTTGTCGTTTTTTGGTCAACTCTGTTACTTTTGATTATTTTTCTAAACAAGAAAAGTGATGAGAAACATGCAACAATATATTAATTGGTTTCACAGTAGTAAGTCTAATTACCTATTTTTTTAATTGAAAATCAGGATCTTAATTTGAAATGAAGATCGACTATTTAAAGCTCGTCCACTGTCCCGTTAACATCTATATCATCATCACCCTAGCATACTTTGTCGTCTCCCGTCCTCACGTTTCTCTCGTCTGCGAATTCGAAGCTCGTAGAGCTCGAATCAGACAAGTTGCTAATTCGTACAAGCCCAGAAAGAGATCTTTTTCTGGGCCTCCTTGAACAAACCACACTCACGTGTGTCGGGATCCATATCAAGCTTCCGTAGCCATGGGGTTTGATCCCGAGAACCAATCGATTTCTTCCGTTGGACAGGTTTCGCTTCTCTCATTACACATCGTCTTTAGATTATCTTTTTTTTCCCATTCTTCTTTCTCTGTTAGGTTTCCGATAACAAATTGTACTGATTTTTGTATGTTTGGTTGGCTCTTTTCCTGGTCGAATTAAGGGCTTTAAAGACTTTTGATTGCAATGTATATGTTAGGATTTGGCTTGATTTTGGATACCTTTTTCTGACGAAATTGTGGGGAAATTTGTGTGGAGCTCGTGAAATTGGGATTTCAATTTTAAGCTTGAGATTTAGACCTTAGCTTCTGGGTTTGGGATAACAATCTTGTCCTAATTGGTATCAAGTCACTAAGTTGGCCTGATAATTGATTTTCTGATGCAAGAAACTATATATTATGTAGGTTGGTGATTCTTCTTCAGGTGAGATCAATGCTCAAAAGGAACCTTTGATAAAAGAGAATCACAGCCCAGAAAACTACTCTGTTCTTGCAGCCATTCCCCCGTGAGTCATCAATTGTGGTCCCAGATTATTTTGTTTATTTGCTATTTATTGTTTGTTGCCAATATTTCTGCTGAAAGCAAGTGGGAATCTTTTGGATATGCACATGACATGATACAGATTTTTCTAAAAGCATGCTAAGAAGTAACAAGTCATTTATTGCAGGTTTCTTTTTCCAGCTCTTGGAGCGTTGCTTTTTGGTTATGAAATTGGTGCGACATCTTGTGCTATCATGTCTATTAAGGTAATCGTTTAACCTTGTCTAAACCTGTGCTTAGGTAGTCAACTTTGACTTTTCTAGCTTTGTCAAGTCTTTAGCTGTTGTTTCCAAGCTTACGTATCCTAAAGCTGTGTATGTCGGACTAAGATATCCCAGTTAAATGACGCTATTTCGTAGTTCACGCCTGCATTTGCAGTGCCATTGTGTTTCCTTGGATTTCTCCTGCATATTTGTTATGCATGTACATTTGTTCGATTCTCTAAGCCTTTTAAAATTCTGTTAATTACTCTGCTTTTGCCCCCTGTACAGTCGCCTACTCTAAGTGGAATTACATGGTACGACTTGTCTTCAGTCGATGTTGGTATACTTGTGAGTCTATAATTCACATTTCTTGGTTCCTCGAATTTTGATTATTACATTATTTTGTAATCTTGTTACCTCCCCCTGGAACTGTGATCTTTCTTGTGGAAGGAAAAAACTGTAATTTTAATATTTTGTGCAGACCAGTGGCTCACTGTATGGTGCCTTAATTGGCTCCATTGTTGCATTTAGTGTTGCCGACACTATAGGTGGGTTTTCTTGACTTTGTTCATCTTGGTATGTAGCAGTCTCTTTATCTGAAAGAAATTGAATTGTTGGACTGAATTTTCAAGGAAGGAGAAAGGAGCTGATTTTGGCTGCATTCTTGTATCTTGTCGGAGCCATTGTGACTGTAGTAGCACCTGCCTTTTCCATACTGATAATTGGACGAGTTACGTATGGCATGGGGATTGGACTGGTAAGATAAACCACACATCTTTAGTGTTTGCCTGCTGAAACTTGTATATGCCTGTGTGCTCTTCCGATGTGCTCTATTACTGAGCATGTGTTATCCAATACATCCATATACTACCACATATAGACCAACATAGAAGTGTGTGCATTCTTCTGTATTCATATATTGGCTCACTTCTTCGATTTATCGATTGGTGGAATTCGGGACAGAGTATACCCCTATTACTGAGATAGAATTCATCATATTCTTATTCTCCTGTCTCATTCTGTTTTACGAGGTTGAGGGTCATTGTTGATAGATCTAGTTTACTGTTCAAATTAAGATGTTTGTTCTACTGTGAGTGAATCCATGCAGCTAGGGAGTACAAGATTAAGCCTTTTTTTTTAACTCGAAAGTTGATCTGTTTCCTTGCATTTAGACAATGCACGCGGCTCCAATGTACATTGCAGAGACTGCTCCTAGTCAAATACGTGGACGGATGATATCACTGAAAGGAATTTTCCACTGTTCTTGGGATGGTTGTAAGTTCTCGAAGCTCTGAGGATTTTGGAATTTTTATCCCAGTTTGGAGTTACATTATTCCTTTGCTCCGTTTTAAAACCCTTTTGTCCACCAAGTTAAACTGACACATAAAAATTTGTGAAGGGAGGTTATGGAATCGGTAGCCTTTGGGTTACTGTTATTTCTGGCTGGCGTTATATGTACGCAACAATTCTCCCTTTGCCAGTTATTATGGGAATTGGAATGTGTTGGCTACCAGCATCTCCGAGGTGGCTTTTATTGCGCGCTCTCCAGAGAAAAGGGAATGTGGAGAATCTTCAACAGGCTGCAATTAGGTCTCTTCGTCGCCTTAGAGGGTCTGCCATAGCTGACTCAGCAGCTGAACAAGTAAACGAGATCTTGGCTGAACTTTCCTTTGTGGGTGAGGACAAAGAAGCTACATTTGGTGAATTATTTCGAGGCAAATGCTTGAAAGCTCTCACAATAGCAGGAGGGTTAGTCTTGTTCCAACAGGTTGGTGTAGTCAATTCATTAAATTTTCCTTAAGAAAATGAACAATAACTAAATATATTTGTACTTTTCAAATTATAGATAACTGGGCAACCAAGTGTACTTTATTATGCACCATCAATACTACAGGTTTTTATTTTCATCTCTACTTAAGTTTAAATTTTTGCACTAGGAGGAAACTCACGAGAGAATTAACTTCATTTACCATTAAAATTACCTGTTAGACTGCCGGCTTTTCTGCTGCAGCTGATGCAACTCGGATCTCAATTCTGCTCGGTCTATTGAAGGTATTTATATTCTTCTATCTGGTTTGACATGTCAGATCTTTTTAGCAAAAAATTATGGAAGCATTGATACGTGTTGTAGTACAACTGGTACCAATGTTAGAAGTAGTAAGTATAAATGAATTTTTCCTTTCGAAGACTTGATGTGATCCTTTACTGTTGCAGTTGGTTATGACAGGACTTTCTGTTATAGTTATTGACAGAGTTGGAAGGAGACCTTTACTTCTTGGTGGTGTTAGTGGCATGGTATTCTTATGTCTTCTCTTTTAATTGTTTGTTCCAACAAGTACCACATGTTCACTGTCTTTTCAATCACATGAGACAGAAGCTAAAGGATCCAGAAATTTACTCTTTTGTATCTTCGATTGTGTAACAGGTGATCTCATTGTTCCTCCTGGGGTCCTACTACATGTTTTATAAAACTGTACCAGCTGTTGCTGTAGCTGCATTGCTACTGTATGTAGGCTGTTACCAGGTGAAATTTTCTTACAGATTTTTCTGATAAAAGTTCCATCCAATCCATGCACTGCCATATGCAGCTTTGTATTTTCATTAAAAACTCTGATATGTTCTTAAGAGGCTTTCCATCAATCTTGCAGCTATCCTTTGGCCCTATTGGTTGGCTGATGATTTCAGAGATATTTCCATTAAAATTAAGAGGTCGAGGAATCAGTCTAGCAGTTCTTGTGAATTTCGGAGCAAACGCACTTGTGACATTCGCTTTCTCACCTCTAAAGGTAAAGAAACTTCTTTTCTTTAAATATTATTTCCATAGAACTAAGCTATAACTTTGGATGGACAATGTATAACGAGAGATCCCTCACTTAGATCGCTTGGTATTGTTTGCAGGAGCTTTTAGGAGCTGGAATCTTGTTCTGTGCATTTGGAGTGATATGTGTAGTGTCTCTCTTCTTCATATACTACATAGTGCCAGAGACAAAGGGTCTCACTCTTGAAGAAATTGAAGCCAAATGTCTCTAAAAGGTTTCTCATCTTAGCTCCACTTTCTCTGCTAGCTGCATCATTGCTTGAGGATCTGAATCGCAAACGCACCAGCCGCAGGTGGAGTCCGCCATTTACCGCGGAATTTTCACTGTTTGGATAACTTTAAAAGAATGGTTGCATCTCGCTGCAAGATTTGGTGCGTTGGACAAGTTTGCTTAATTTGTATGTTAAAATGTAAGAAGAAACGCGTTCAAAATTTTGTGATTGTATGAAAATAATGTGAGACTAGATTTGAACCCGCGGTACACCGCGGGGCTATAATTTTTTTTTTAAAAATCTAAATATAATTAGTTTTGTTTATTAATAGAGAGTATAATATAATATTCGACCTATTTTATAAATGTACCATCCATATATCTATATTAATAGTTTTGAGTATATTAATTGTGTTTTAGGTTTAAATGGTATATCTATATATACACTTAAACGACATTTGACTTTCTTCTTCTTCTTACCTCAGTTTAGGAGAAAGATTTTTCTTGCGGTACACCGCGGAGCTATTATTTTTAAAAAATATTTTTCTTCCTTAAACTTCCAAATCTAGATTTTACCCCGCGGTACACCGCTAGTCGATTTTTTTATAACTAAAAAATTATTTTGCAAAATTTTAAGTTGTATTTGTTTTGTTAATATTGTTATTTTGTTTAGTGTTTCTGATTTTATAATTAAATTTTGATTTTTAATTCTAGGATTTCATCCATAGTATATTGTTTAATATTTATATTGATCCAAACCCGTTACACCATATAACCCCGTCCCGTAAAATTAAACATCATTTGTTATTTTTTTTGAATAATATTTTTATGCACTACGGATCGCAGGTTCATGCGGATAAGCCCGTAGAGAGTTACGGGTTTGCGGGTAGACCCGCCAAAAGAGAAGCTATCGTTTGAAACCCTTTTTTTTGTTTAGAGGTTTTAAGAAAATATCCCTAAAAAATAATTTTCATTATATGAAAAAAAAGAAGTAGAAGAAATTGTAGTATCAACATTCCCGATTTTTACATCACTCGTTACAATTAATTTTTTTTTTTGCAGATAAAAATTAGAAGTTAACTAAGTCGAAATTTTTAAAAAGATTGTGTAGAGATTTTTGGTAAATTGTTGAGAACATATTTGATTTCAAAATTTTTACTTAAATAGATAAGGAAAGATTTTGTAGAGACTTTTGCTAAATATATGAGAAATAAATTTCAAATAAAAATCTTTACTTAAATAAAACAAATCTAAATAATTAATGCTAATGGCATGTCATTGTAAATACTTCTCAACTTCAGGATTTATTTGCTAATTGTGATCCAAAAATGTATATATAGATTCAAAATCTTAACGTCGTCACTGATTATTACTCCTATTATACGAAGCATATTATGACGTCATAACAGGAAACATAAATAAGAAAATCATTGTTTATATTTTTAGCGGTTTGTGGCTATCATCGTACTACGATTAACAAAAGCCTATAAATACAAGCACGTCCTCTAACGTAGGAAGAACACAAAAATCATCTTTTGTGGTAAAGGAACCTAAACCGGAGAGAAAAATGGCAACCACATGCAATGCGACGACGGTGACCAACAAGCAGGTGATACTGCGAGATTACGTCACCGGTTTCCCCAAGGAATCAGACCTCATCTTCACCGATTCCACCATCGATTTAAAGATTCCGGAGGGATCGAAGACGGTTCTGGTGAAGAATCTCTACTTGTCTTGCGATCCTTACATGCGCATTCGCATGGGAATTCCCGATCCCGGTACTGCTGCGCTCGCTCCACCTTACATTCCCGGCGAGGTACAAAAACGACGCATGTTCTAGATTGTTACGGATTTACACGATTTTGTTACGTTTCGAGGTTGTTTGTTACCCACGTTTTTGGAAAACAATTCCACTATTAAAACAGAGATGGATTTGGAAACATTGTTTTAAAATTCAGAAACATTTTTGAATACTGTGTCATCTAAGAAATTGTACCATTATTATTAGGAGTGATTGTCTTTTGGAATATTATCTTACTTACTGTCTCTGGTGCTAAAGCTTTTGATGTGTTGTTTGCAGCCAATTTATGGGTTTTCAGTGTCAAAAGTGATAGATTCTGGGCATCCAGATTACAAAAAGGGAGACTTACTTTGGGGATTAGTTGGATGGGGGGAGTACAGTCTTATAACTCCAGATTTTTCACATTACAAGATCCAACACACCGATGTTCCGTTATCCTACTACACTGGACTTCTCGGTATGTACTTCTCTCTATGATTGATTATTGGCATGATAGATTGCTCTGGTCTTGGATTATAATGCATGCTTCACTGAAACAGTGGCTCCTAATCATGTAGAATAGTTGCTAACATATCTAATAACACTGTTCAAAACTCTACAAGTTTCAGTAGTTTACTTAGTGGTCTTAGAAGCATTGCTCTGTTTCTGACAGGTATGCCTGGTATGACTGCCTATGCTGGGTTTTATGAAATCTGTTCTCCTAAGAAAGGAGAAACTGTCTTCGTGTCAGCTGCATCGGGTGCAGTTGGTCAGCTCGTGGGACAATTTGCAAAGATTATGGGCTGCTATGTCGTTGGAAGTGCAGGCAGTAATGAAAAGGTAACCAGACTTTTCTTGGACTCTAGCTATTTACCTTATCAAAAAATAATTAAAATTCGATTGGTTAAGGTCTTTTCTTTCTATCAAAAGATTCACTTGCCCCTTTTTTCATTCTCTAATGAGTTATGTTATAGGTTGATCTTCTCAAGAACAAGTTCGGGTTTGATGAAGCTTTCAATTACAAAGAAGAGCAAGACCTTAATGCTGCCCTGAAGAGGTCAGTAAATTCTGCTTTTGGTATCATCGATATATCGCGTTGTGATATATAGAGATTTGACTCAAAACTATGATATATTTTCGTGACCAGGTGTTTCCCGGAAGGAATCGACATATACTTTGAGAACGTAGGAGGCAAAATGCTAGACGCAGTGCTCCTAAACATGAAGCTACACGGCCGTATCGCAGTATGTGGTATGATCTCACAGTACAACCTTGAGGACCAGGAAGGTGTACACAACCTAGCAAACGTGATCTACAAGCGGATTCGGATTCAAGGGTTCGTGGTCTCTGATTACTTTGACAAACACTTAAAGTTCCTGGATTTTGTGCTTCCGTATATAAGAGAAGGAAAGATAACTTATGTTGAGGATATAGTTGAAGGACTTGAGAACGGACCTTCAGCTTTGCTTGGACTGTTCCATGGTAAGAACGTCGGCAAACAACTCATACTGGTTGCTCCTGAATGAATCAGACGTCTTTAGTTGGAGAATGAGTTACAAGAATTTGTTTAGTTGTGTCGGAAGTTTAAGATTATACATTCTTCCACTTGAGTGACTTGAAAATAAAGCCTCTGTTTCGTAGGAGTAACTACAATTTTGCATTTTTGGTTGTTTGGTTTGATTCTTTGATTGATTTATTCTACAATTTTTGTACCTACAGATATCTAAATAATAGAAACTCACACAATTTTTGTACGGATATTATGATGTTTCATTAGTCAAGGGCCTTTGTTATAATAAGTAACTAATAAGTCGAAGAGCCCAAGGGCCTACATGTGCTTCAAATAAGTGGGCCTTTGTGATAAGTAAAGCCTAAATAAAGGTGTTGTTCTTTGGTAGAGAGAGCTTCGCGAACAATTTCCTCTCTCTCACTCTCGATAGACTCTTCATGTACAATGGCGTCGAATCTCCTAAAATGGATGCAGGTACTTGGCGATTATCTTTACCGTACTTAATTTTATAGCTCTTTCTCTTCCCGAATACATCCTTTAGATCGTGAATCACTTTAATAACTCTGTTATGTGGCATGGTTTAGGTCACTAGTACAATTTGGTTATGGTTCTCCCAAACTCATACAATGTCCATGGAGCTGCGCTTGGGGAGAAGGAACCTTGGGTGGGCACATGAGGTAGCTGAGGATGTGAAAAGGTAAGTAGAACCTAATTCTGGCTCCGGAAACGCTCTTCTGCTTCGAGGTACGTTTGATTTCTCCTCTGTTTGCTCTCTAATATTTCCCTTTGGGATGTTGAGAATTATTCGTCGGAGGGAGAAGAAATTATTCCGAGCGGTTAGGTTTACATTGGTTTTAAAATTAAAATTGATATAAATGGTAGTGAAATTAGAATTGATTTTGGGTTCGGTTTACACTGGTTAAGAGAAGAAAACAAAAAAAATATTCACGCGATGGGGATTTTGGAGACAAGTGCGTCGATTGAAAAAGGCATGATGTCGAAAGGGGGTACACCTCCAGAATTGCTCTCACTCGCGCAACGCTCAATTTGTGCGAGTGGGTCTGAAATAGAGCCTTCTGGTTGGCTGAAAAACTCTAAAAAAAGTGAAATAATATACATGTTGCTAGCTCCTCTCTTATGTTATTATTATTTATTTTTTCGTCTTCTTCTCTCAATGTGATGAAAGTTGTTGTTTTTTCTAAGATACAATTGATTCTACTGGAAATCCATTCATGTCACCAAAAGAACACATAATTTTGTGAATTGGTATGCTGGCAAAGTTTCATTCAACAATTTTGTGTTCATAGAGGATAAAAAAACCTAAGTAGCACCGAAACGGGTACGGGAACTAGAAACGGGTACGGAAACGGGGACGGAAAACGGCAAAATAAAAATTCATAGATACGGGTACGGCATGGGTACTTCAATAAATATATAAGAATCAGTGTTCTAAAAAGCGGTCTAGGCGGTCGCCTAGGCCCCGACTAGGCGCTAGGCTTTCATGCGACGCCTAGATAACCGTTTTGACCGCCTAAAATTACATAGATTTTGTTTAATATATTTTTAAAATTTTTATTAGAGTTTTATTTATATATATAGTTATAAATATTCATATATTGTTTAATATAAATAGAAATAAATGTTTTATCTAGTTTTTGTTTATAATTTCATAGTTTTTAGTTTTATATAGATATTTTATATAACTTTTATGTATAATATAATATTTTATGTTATAAACGTCTAAACCGCCTAAAATATCGCCTAGACCCCGATTAGGCGTTCTAGGCGCTAGGCACTGGATCACCGCCCGCTTAGCGCCTAGCGCTTTCGTGAACACTGATAAGAATAGATACCTATATACCTTTAGTGAGAGGCAATTAGAAAGTTAATGGGAAAATTATAGAAGAGAAAAGCAACTAGAAGGTAGAAAAACATGAAAAATGTGAGGAGGTAAAAATGTACTCATGATAAAAGGGTTGGGAATGAAATTATAAGGATGTGAATGTTAGAATTTCAATGTTGTTTTCCTCTGAATTATCTAAAAGTGTTTTTTAGAACACTAGGAAACACCAATTTTGAAGCTAGAATATCTCGGAAACGTCCCCATATCCAAAACATTCCGTCCCCATAACTACTTATTGTCCCCGCCTTACTCGAAACGCCTTGGGGACGTTTCAGAGCTGTCCCCATGATGTCCCAGTTTCCGAAACGTCCCCGGTACGGGAACGGCTACCAAATAGAAGTCCCCGTGCTTCCTAGCAAAAAACAACTTTTTGGAAAGTGATTTGACAATACTTTGTTTAACTCTCTTGATAACATCACTTCATTCACCACTGTGGTTTTAAAAGGGATTGCTCACAAACTTCTGATCTTCTTTTTCTGGCATTAGAGCTTTAGATTGATGATGCTGCCACATTATATATATATATATATATATTTTTGAAATGATTGAATTTGGGTTTCATTGAGCTAACTAAGATCACATTAGAGGAAATCATGAATCAGAGAGGCATCTGATTGCTTGTGTTTAAGCTTGAAGAAATGTTTGTTCATTGCGCAGATCAAAGAACAACTGGATGCAGACAGTGTCGGTTTATGTCTGTTGACGGACTTTGGTAAGTCTTGCTTAACTCTTTATTCTTTGTTCAATCATATACCAACAAAGTTTATACAAATCCAAGTTGTGAGGTGATCTGTGTGTTGGAGACTTCTGTTTCTGAGATGAAGATGGACCACTTGTTTTCACTAATCACCTGCAACTTTAGAGCCCATCTTCGTTAGTGTGACTAAAGTCTCGATTCTGCAGAAAAATAATTAGAGTTTGTAACAGTTGTATTAAAATAATTCTGGCTTGATGTCTCATTGTTCTGGTGCAGCATTAACGTGGTATCAGCGGCGTTCAAGGGAAATCCTCAGTGAACAGGCAGATGATGATGTATAAAGCCATATGCGAGGAGGAGCTTCAGAATGTGGTTCATGCCGTTGATCAGATGACAACAAAGACTCCTTCACAAGTTTGAAAGGCTTACACAAGTGACCAAAGCTCTCAATGAGCCTGCAAACATTCTTGCTGTATGTTATTATCATTTGACTTTTTTTTTTTTCTTGTTTCTACTGATTAGATTACACATTACTTGTCTGATATTTTCCGTGATGAACAGGTTCTAGATTATGTTGCGAACCTGTCAAACATGAAGAAGGAAGAGCTTGCGGAGTTAAGTTATGTGAATTCTGTGAGGTTGTTTTCTTATACAGGTTCTAAATTTCTTACAGACCAGTAGAAATGGTGTCTCTCTACAGAATTGTAACATCATCTCTGATCAAAGAGACAAAAGAACAATCATCTTCTGTTTCTGCTGTTGTGTGTTATATTATTTGTTTGTCGTTAATGTGTTTGGACAAACTCATTCAATACCAAAATCATCTCTCATTAATTGTTGTTTCTGTTGCTTACTTGGTAGAAGTTGTAACTATGTATCGTTTTCTGAAAGAGAGGTTTGTTCTGCATACTTGTGTGATTTACATAAAGACAGATCAACAGAAGAACAGAACTAAACACAAACACTCTAAACAAGACCACCTCTCCAACATGAGACATCAAACGCCATACACACAGAATCTCGTTTAAGATGAAGCAATGCCAATCCTTCCACTGCATTTTTAGTTACCAAACTTTATTTTCCTCTTTGCTTCTTCTCTGCATAACTTGCTTATAATCCTCAAAAACAAAACGTCTACCACCAAAAACATCCCCGGTAAGTGACAATCTTCCCTCCTACTGTTAATGGCTCTTTCCGGAAGATACAAAGACTTGCAGACTTCATACTAACATCAAAGAAGACAATGACGTGGTGCGCATAACGAAACCTCTGAGGGAACTGAACATATCCATGGAGTTGTAGATGTAGTGGTCAGAATCAAGATTGAGGATATGATAGCGTTGAGCTGGTTCTAACCAAAGAATTCATGGCTCCTGCTTTCTTGTTGTGTATCTCAGGACCAAGCCGCTTCTCTCTCTGACACACAGACCAGCATTGGTAGCCTGATATCAACGTCAGAGTTATAGGAGATGGCTTGTTGAATCAGAGAAAAAAGGAAACTACCAAAACCAAATTTCCTTTTTGTGATCAACCTTAAAAAAAAAAAAAGGAAATTTCCTTTTTGTGATACTCAACCTTAAAAAAGGGAAATTTGTCTAGAAGATCTATAAATAGAGAGGTTTTATCATCAAACCAGACATCTCACACACAATTTGTTCTTTGTGTTGGCTAACTATAATCAATCTCTAGAGTTTGGAATTCTCTCGATGGCACTCCTTCCGAAGACAGTAGTTAAGATAGCTTATAGAGAAACCAAAACATATGCCGACGATCTCGAGGACGATATATCGTTTATACTAAGGGTCGGAAGAACCAAGCGCATTTGTTCGCGGAGTGCTAGTGGTCGTGAAACCCCAGTTCAACAAACAACCATTAGCAAGGAGAATGCTATAGAGCTCGATTACAAGATCGCACCTAATTGCCTTGTCAACGAAGCAAGGTGTCGTGGACTGGTGGACCTTCTGTTGAATCTTAGAAGGAATCAATTGTCTTCGACCCCCAAAGGTGAAATATTACAAACCATTCATTATCTTTCTTATCTCCTAAGACTTTCTTCATGTGTTATATATAAGATCAACTTTTATCTTTTGACAAATTTCAGGCTACTCAGAGATCTGCAGACTAAAGTATCTCCAAGAGCTCGATTTAGGCAGCAATGCTTTGACAAGTATGCCTTACTGTCTGAGTAACCTAACCCGTCTTCGAACTCTTGATCTATCAGGCAACCAATTGAACGAAAACTTGTCTTCCTTTGTGTTTGGTCTACCACCAGCACTTGAGTACTTATCACTTCTTGATAATAACTTCAATGGTTCGTTCTCGTTCAATTCACTGGCCAATCACACAAGACTCACAGTTTTCAAATTGTCATCAAAAGTTGGTATGATCCAAGCTCAGAGTGAGAGCTCGTTGGTTCCACTGTTTCAGTTGAAGATTCTAACATTACATAATTTCAGTCTTGGCAACACAATTCCTGGTTTTCTTGTTCATCAACATGACTTAATCTTCATTGATATTTCTTATAGCCAGTTGACAGGAGCATTTCCAGCTTGGCTTTTGCAGAATAACGCAAGACTGCAGACTATTTTACTGAATAACAATTTGTTGACAGAGCTTCAGCTACCAAAGCTGGTTCATGGCTTACAAGTTCTCGATATCTCGAGTAATAAGATATTCGATTCCATTCAAGAAGATATAGGGATTTTCTTTCCACACCTGAGGTACATGAACTTTTCTTCAAACTATTTTCATGGAACCATTCCATCTTCTATGGGAATGATGAAAAGTCTACTAATGTTGGACATGTCATTTAACGATCTATGGGGTCAACTACCTCAAACATTTTTAAGTAGTTGCTACTCGTTGAAGTTTCTGAAGCTTTCCAACAACCAACTCAAGGGTGAGATATTTCCGGAGTATGCAGATCTTACTAGCTTAGCTTGGCTAGCTCTTGATGGCAACAATTTTAGTGAGAGTCTCGGAGAAGGTCTATTGAAGTCAAAGAATCTAACTCTTTTAGACATATCAGATAATAACGTTTCAGGCTCGCTCCCACTTTGGATTGATAGGATGTCAAGCCTTGAGTATCTATACATGAGGGGAAATCAGCTCAACGGTCATTTCCCTCGCCAGCTACAGAATCTAAAGCTTAAGGTTATAGACATCTCACATAATAGCTTCTTTGGTTCTCTACCAAGAAATGTTGAGTTTCCAATTCTGAGAGAGTTAAGACTACAGAACAATGAGTTTATTGGCTCAATTCCGGACGCTTTGTTCGAGGCTGAGCTACTGGAGGTGATTGATATGCGGAACAACAATTTTTCTGATATGGTTCTGAATAATGTTGCCAAGGCATCTAATTTAGGTGTTCTTCTTCTACGGAGTAACAGTTATGAAAGTCACATCCCTGAGAAACTATGTCAGCTAAGTGAAGTTGGTATCTTGGATTTATCTCAGAATAAATTCAAAGGTGTTATACCATCATGTTTCAGTAAAATGTCTTTTGGTGCAAAAAAGTATGACAGCAACATGTCATTTGATCCAGTGGAAGGCTTCTCACAAGTTTCATTCTCGCAAAGTTGGAGTTATACATCAGCTATCAACCTCGATGATGATTTCGCGTATGGTGCTCAACGGACACCAGCAATCATAGTGGATTTTCTAACGAAAAGAAGATATGAAGCATATCAAGGTGATATTCTGCGTTACATGTATGGGTTGGATTTGTCAAGCAACCAATTATCTGGTGAGATTCCAGTTGAGATTGGAAACCTTCAAAATATCGTATCGTTGAATTTGTCAAGCAACTACCTCACTGGCTCCATACCAGATAGCATTTCGAAGCTGAAGGATTTGGGGAGTCTTGATTTGTCCAACAATAAGCTAGATGGAAACAGCCAATAAGCTAGATGGAAACAGCCCCCCTGTGCTAGCCGACCTCAACAATTTAGGATTCTTCAATTTCTCATACAACAACTTGTCAGGTGAAATCCCTATCAAAGGCCATCTTCTACAGAAATCAAACTAGGCCAGTGAAACAAAAAAAAAAAGCATAGATGGCGAGACAGATACTTCAACTTGAAAGAAGATGGATTTAGCTATATTACCCAATGTGATAACCAAAGAGAAAATTGGCCATAGGAGGAAAAGCCGATAACCATCCCAAATCAGCCGAGAATTTCTCCAGCTTCTCATCTGGCGATAACTCGTGATCTTCATCTGTTAAATTATTGAATAAAGTTAGAATTTTTAATACAGATAAACATTAGCGAAGAGAAAAAGTTTAATCGGGTCAGAGCATTGGGTTGATGTAGAAGTACGGTATTCGTCACCCACATGATCGGAGAGCTAGACTAGACGGAAGGAGACAAATACGTCGGCGAAGCGAATGAGGAGACAAAAGGGAAATTGACCTGTCATCACGTGACTGTCACGTGCTCGAAAGGATATTTCCTTTTTGTTTTTGCGTCCAATTATATAAAAAGGAAATATTTGACCTTAATTTCCTTTTTGTTTTATTTTTAAAAGAAATTTCCTTTTCTTTCAGTCATAACCTTTCATTATAAATATACTAATCTCTTCTTAAGAATCGAAGTTGTCATTCGTCCAAGAGCAAAACCCTAACGTGCTCTTTCTTCTTCTTCTTTTTCTTCTTTTAAAAACTTGAGTTTCTTCTCGAGCAAGTTATGTCGATCGTAGCTAGCCGTCATGAATCTCGTTCTCGCTATTGGAATTATTCGTTGGGTTCGTATCTCTTCCGATTTTTCTCCGACTAAATTTTAGTCAATCATTAGAGAGGGCAAGGAGATGTTTAAAGGTGAATCTGGGATTATAAGTTAGGGTTTCAGGGTTACGGTGCTGAAGTTGTGGCCGAGATATGGGAGAACACGACGGAAATTGACAACGATCGAGATGGAGGAAAATACTTCGTCGGAGATTATTCGTGATGATGTCACACCACACAACGGCTATTTTTGGATGATGTCATACAAGGGCTATTTTGGAATTTGGTTGAGTATGGAGAACAAAGAACTACGGTGAAGATTTCGTGAGATGACTTGAGAGAAGACGCCTGGAGAGGGTCTAGATAAGCAAAAGAGTCTCGCGTTACATCAATTCCAGTACGATTCCAAGTGAATTTCCTTTCCCTTTTAAAATCAAAAAAAGTTTTAAAATTTTTACTTTTTTTTAAA